ACTTCGAGGTTCACCAAGTGCTGTGCCTGCCACGAAATCTGCACTTCCAGGTCCACCAAGTGCAAGCAGAGCTAGCTTAATTTAAATTATAGTTATTATCCCCCCAGGGTATAACGGAATACTTTTTTAATACTTCGATCGATCCTTCCCCCATGCCCAGCACTTGGCCCTGAGCCTATATCCTTCAGCCGCGCTTTCGGTCCTGGACAGACGGCTTTGGTGGAGATCTCGATGGAGTTCAAGCTATGCAACAATGATGAAGATGTGGAGGACAGTCGTTGTACATGTGAGCTCATTTGGAGTTGGTCATACAAAAACAATTATGAGCTAAAAGACATACAGCGCTGTTTAGCTAGGTCTTTAAAGTGGACTTGATTGGCCATGGGATATGGATATTAGATGTCTACGATATCGCGAGAGCCCTGGGGTGTATTATTTATCGAGATCCCTGGCTGGCCAGGAGTGGGCACGCAAAGAGGGCGACTACCACCGACACTTGCCAGCAGTTTTTGGGTGTTGGCAGGTTGGGATCCCCATCCATGCATCAGCCATCTGGGATATGGTTTGCCATCCATGCAGTTGCTTTGTGCCTGTAGAGTGTCATCCATGACATAATTTGTTCCGAACTGTGGCTATCATTCACGACCACCATGTGAAATTCAGCACGTTCAGGTAGCTGTGATCCATGATGGCCCGACACAAACCATCGATAGTGCCATGTGCACATTGCACCGGTGCATGAAGTCCGGCCCACTGCTTGAAGCCCCAGTCACTCATGCACAGGGCTGTCCGAGCAATCCCCCAATAGGTGCATGAGGGGTTGGAGTCGTTGCTACCTGCCCAGTTCCTGGTTTGCAAGAGGTACCGCGTCAGTGCAAGGCGGGATGGCCCTGGGTCCTGTGTTTTTTATATTCATCCCTAAAAGGGTACAGGGAATATACATGTGTGCATGTATGCAAGGTGATCATGAACATGGCTTCAAGGAGCATGTTTTACTCGGATTCTCCTTTCCAAGGGGGCCCATCCCTTCGACGTCCTCCAGATCGTTGTCCTGTCGCATGCCATTGGTGCTCCTTGATCTGAGCACAGGTCTGGTTCAAAGAGGCTGCTGCAATTGAAGCAGATCCTTGCTGAGCAAGCATCTCTGGCGGGAAGTTCTGCACTTGGGGCTTGTCGTGCGTTTGGGAGGTTCGTGGTTTTGGATCGTTTTGGATCCATATAGGCCATCGCTAGTAGGTTGGAGGCCATTGGAGGTTTGTGGTTCCATTTTTTCGAAAATTCGTTTGGCTCCAATGCCAGGATGACAAGAGTGTGGGAAAGGTGAAGTCCGTCCCTGAAGATGATGCATCAAGTGAGGGAACCCAATCACATCCCTACAAGTCCTAAGACCAAAAACTGGTCCCTTGATTACCCACATATATATATATAAGCAGGTCTTGGACTTGTAGTGGGATAATGTAGTGGGATCGGCTATCGGAAGATGAAGACATCTCACCAGCTGAAACGGATGACGAGTGCAGCGACACCTCATCATGTATGATGGAGGTTCCAGACCCTTGGCCTGACTTGCATGGTGATGTTCCCATTCCAAATCTGTACTGCTACTATCCGCAAATATTCCAAAATTCCACTCTCTAACCGCAGGCCACTCTCTTTCAGGCCCTTTCTGTTGCAGGTGGCTGCTAGCTATTGGCCATCAGTCTCGATATTCTAGCTAGTTTTGCTTGCCACTTGGTTCTGGGACCTAGATGGGTTCATGATGTGATGTTAGGAGATGAGCAAAGAAGAAAAGGACTATGTTCGATTCTATGGAAAACCACCGGACAGCCACCTGGCTTTTTTTGTGGCTCGTAAAACTCGATCGTTTGCACATGGCCTCGTTTTCCTTGACTCCCGGGCTTGCAGGATAGTGATCGAATAGCCCTTATAGTCCACCAACATGTGCGTCCCAAGGCAAGCTTTGTGCGAGTGGTTTGGCCGGTGTGAGCAAGCTCCAATGTTCTTGTGATTTTGGTTGCAGTTAAAAAAAGGTTTCCTGCAAGGGGTATGTGGTTGTGTTATGCTTTTGGCCACACTTCATTAGTAGGTATTGTGTCCATACCGGTCATTTCCTGGTGCCTAGGTCCCAGGAGCAAGCAGATTCAATCCGTGCGGCTGGAATGCGGTTCCTTCGATATCCAATCCACCTCCTCAAAGTCTCTTCCAGGAGACTAGAGTTGTCGTTGACTGCTTTGGGGATTGTGAATTCGAAGAATTGTTTGAAGTTTGTTTGTATATGTTCCTTTACCTCCTTGAGTAGTGTTTTTGTACGACCAACTTTAGTAAAAAGAGGTCATTGACTTGTAGTTATTTATGCAATTTACATCCTGGTAGGGTTTCCATTGTTGGTGGAGATGTCTTGGTGCTCCTCCTGAGGGCTCCAGCTGATTTCTCGGAGGAGGACACGATAGGGACATTGAAGAAGGTGTCGGCGAGCATCTCTGGCCGTCACATGGAACCCTATCTGTGCAAGATAGCCAGGCTGAGGCCAGGTGTTGGAGGATGTTGAAAGAAGTTTGCAATTGTTCATTTGTAGGGACCATTCCTGGTCAGTTGGTTTTGCAGGGCCAATTCCACGTGTTTGCATGTGCTTTTTTGGCACGTGTTTGGTCAGGTTGAGATGTGCAAAGAAGCCCATTTGGAGGACTGCTTTTGGGATGTTTTTTTGTTTGAATAAACATGCAGGCATTGGTGTACTGTGGGTTCGAAAACCTAACAAAAACATGCAAAACCTGGTCCCTCATGTCATTGAGTACAGTGTGGGTATTTTCCATCAGGGTTTTGCATGATTTTGCTCTGATTTGACCTCGTTTGCAGGACCAACATGGAGCAAGCTTGGCGACGCTGATGGAGAGTGGAAAGAAGGGGCGTGTTTCCGATCGTCTCGGAAAACTCGATCGTTTGCACATGACCTCGTTTTACTGGAATCCCGGACTTGCAGGGATATATATATATATATATTTTATATAAATATTATAGTTATTCCTGATCGTTTCTGTTTGGCTGAAGGCTAATATATCACAGCAGGGGTCCATTTCTGTTTGGGTGCCCCTAGCAGGAGAATAGTTTCTGTGTCGGAAGCCTGCCAAATCAGGCAAAGACAGCTTTCTACTTGTTGGCTTCATGTTTTGCACGGGTGTAAAATGGTGTAGGTAGGTGTGAAATATGGTTGTACCATGTTGTATTCTTTTCAAAGGGGGCCCAGCTGTGAATGTGGCTTGCACGCGCAATGCATCTAAAGTTTTTGACGCGGCATACCAGCAATCTGGTGGCGCCATTTGGTGGCGTGGGAAGTCTCCAAGTCCAGGCACGGCTCAGGTGAGATGGCTGCCAGCATGGGAGCCGATGTGTCAGTTTTCTATAGTTTTCCTGGAAGCTATTCAGACAGGGAACATGACATTCATTGTCATTCATGTTCATGTATTTTCCCCATCACCCCATTTCGAGCAATATCCAATTTGCTGCGTAGGCCTGGATGAAATCGTTTATTTGGGGGGGCACAGCCGGGAACAACGCATCACACCACGAACATGTTTCTATACCAGCAGACCCGGGCAGGGATTGGTTCTGGATCCGGATGGATTTGTAGGCAACAGAATATGGTCCCCAAATAGATGACCGTGGCACGGATTCCAATACATTTTCTACTTGGCATGCGTCACGACTTCCCAAACATGAACCCGATCCCAGGCATAGCCCACGAGGGCTGTACGGAATCAGGGGCCCTCGTTCGGTTGGCATATTTAATTGGTTGATATTGGCTTAAGATGTTTAAGGGAATTGGTCTACAGGAAACGTTGCATGGTTTGGGGGGTGAAAACCAGGGTTTCTGGTTGCAGCTTGGTTCCTTGATAACCAATTCATTGAGAGGTCTATGGTGCCAGAGGAACCACTGGAACCACTGGGACCTTCCAGCGAAGGGACGGGTCATTGGATGCACTGGATGGTCACTGGGGGTCGTACACCCAAACGGGGACTGGAAGAGTTGGACCGGACGAAGACGGGGACATCCAATAGATGGTCCTTCTTGGACATGTCCCGAACTCAGCCCGACTCAGCGGGTCTATGCCTTAAACGTTGGATGCCTATAGTTATGTTATCTAATGCCCTGAGGATCGAAAGTTAGCTCTATATGCTAACATTTGGGGTTGTGTCTTCCGGGGCTCTCCGACCTCACCCTGTGAGGTCCGACCTCAAAAAACGAGATCATACCAAACCCAAAAACCACAAAACCCAAAAACCACAAAACCAACGATCCCAAATTCAAATTCGTCACGGGTTGTCACGCTGGAGTCCGACAATGACCTCATTTTTAAAGGGACAAAATAGACCAATCACGGTCTGTCACGGTTCGTCACGCCCTGGTATGCTTGGTTCTTGGGATTTCATGGTCTTATCCTCCGACAATGATACTGGAATTGTATATACATTTCAGGTACCCCAATCTGTGATTCGACAACGTCTTCAAATAACACGATCAATAGAAACGTATGCATATCCTGAGATCATTTCTATTTGTGACTTATGTGTGGTCATGGATCGTCAGGGATGTATACGTACCAGCACCTTCTGAACTTCAAAAGGGGTCACCTGGCTGGAAACCCCAGCCCACCGCTACGGGACCTCCAGACAGGACACCCCGAAAGAAGGTCCAGGTATAGGTATAGGTGTAACTCCGTCCACCGTGTAATCGACTTCGGTCCGTGAGCTGGTCCGTGGGTCACCCAGAAGTCCAATCCCACCAAGCTGATTCCCAACGTGTGGGACGCAAAGTCCGACAAGCTCACGAATACCGGAGCAAGCACCAGGTTGTGTGGTGGTGTCGTTTTTTGTTGGTTGTTCAACCTTAACATGATTGATATATGATTGACCAACATGTTTCAAGTGAGTTGAAATCACCAACCAGACCGATCTCCTAAGAGCGACCGGGGAGGGCGACCTGAGCACCTGGACCGACCGACCGACGGCGACGTTCGCACGCCGATGGACCGACCGGTAGCTTTTTCGCGATCCCAGATGGATCACATGGGGGTGAATCGGTCCATGATTGGTCGATGAACAGGTTGCCATGAACAGGTTGCCATGTAAATATCCAGTCCCCCGGGCCTTCTTTTTTTGCGTAGATGTGAAACGAATCGTCGCCATGGGCACCGGACAGTCCATCGCTGCACATCTGTCGGGTGATAGCAACTTTCCCTGCTAAGCGCAGGGTTTGCCGCCCAGGCAGAACAGTTTTGGAACCCGCACCGCAGGCCTTGCAGCGGGTTTGATTGGTTTGCTTCGGCCACGGAGCAAAGGATCAATTCATTGAGCAAATGATTCAATGGACGACATGTATTTACTTGTAACACTCGGTAAAACAACAACATCACCACTGAGGGAAAGGCCTGTGACCAGGCCCCATCATCATCCACTGGGCCCAGGCAATGAAAAAAAAAATGTATTTTGTGTGGAAAATTGTCCACAGCTGGAGAGTTGGTTCCTCTCCTGCCTCAAATTGCACCGAGTCAGACATTACTGTATATTATATTCCAATGTGTACCTCTCACGTACCATAATCCACTCATAACAGGACTTGGAGCGATCTGTTTAGCTCGGAACAGCCGCAGCTCGCAGGCTTTGTTTTAGCACGAGGTTTCACCATGAGCCCTAGGGATTGTAAGGCAACTCCAGTTCTCCGAATTTGTCCTTCGTGAAGTTGCCTAGTTTCCGCGCTTGTGAAATCAGGTTCCTTGGCGCCAGACTGTCTACATCCTCAACATCCCCAGGGTAGTCCCAGCGCGTTGTTTGCTCCGACTAGACCTCCGAAGCAGGCCGTCGACCTGGAATTCCCCGGAACCGCGCGTCAGGTGCTCGAGCGCACTGTTGGGGGAGCATGTTCGCCGTTTTTGGCCATGTTTGAAAGTCTCAATTCCTTCCACCGCCTGTCCTGTGGGTCGTGTTGTGGGTGTGGGTCCTGCTACCCGGTGGCCACCCGGAACGAAACTAGGTGTCACCCAGACACGACCTGTCTGGGACTGCCATACGACTGCCACCCCAGCCAGACCCGCCTGGCCGTTTCTCGGCAGCCCGGACTGGCAGTCCCATTGGGAGCGTTTGGGAATAGCGATATGTCACTTCCGTTCATTTTCGCTGGTCAAACCCCAGACACTCCATGGGACTGGCATCTAACCCCATTGACCCCCCTGGCACCACCCCAACTGATCGGCAGTCGCATGGAAGGTCTGGGAATGGGATCCTGTCTGTCTTTGAAGGGGGAGGCTTTGGCCACAAAGGCGGCCCTGGCTAGGTAGACTGGTCGATGTTCCGGGGAGATCTGTCACAGTCTCCCTATTTTTTCAGACACTCCGAGAGATGAAGGAATTCTACATGGACACTTCGGAGCATCCCGGAGTTCATGGGTCAATATGCCAGTCTGGAGTGTGCTGGACACATACACACCCGTCGTATCAGAATCACCGTCGTTCTGCCGAAAAGAAAAACAACATTCGTCCGGAGAACATTCGTCCGGAGAACATTCGTCCTTCGACCTCTGAAATTGAGTTGGTCGCTCAGGCGATTAGACGGAGGCAGGTATATCTTCTGCCATACATGGAGTGGGACTGGGATTGTGAAGTTGAAGGTGATTTAGGAGAAAGACGAGGATGCTTTCAGCCAGATGATTCCTATATAAGTACGTGGACTCCAATTGCCCAAGAAAAAGACACGCAACCGCACGTGAGCAGCTTCAAAAGCACCGACGACGAGAAAGCCGATGCTCATGGCTTCCGGGGCTCTTTAGAGAGCAACGAGTGTATAGTTTGTATATATGCATTGACGACAATTTGCCTTCATTGCGAGACATCGAGCTGAAGATCCGCTATCGATTTATCTAGAAGAGTCTTGCTTGGTAGAAATGGGTGTCAGGCTTTGAATTGTCATAGGATTGATGTCCAAGCCCTTGTCCAGCCAATTGTTGAAGGGATGGATCTGCAGGTACCTGAATCTCAGCTAAGCTTTGTGAACTGCAAGCTGAACACAAGCAATACGGCAATTCCTGTTGCCCTTTGTTACCCTACATGCAGCCCAAGTACCTGGTTTGTTGCAGACGAGAAACCCCGAGGTCCCTAGGAGAAGTCCATGTCAAGCCACCGATTGGAGAATTGCCAAGAGATATATGTCAAAAGTTTCTTTGTCACATTCCGTGGCTCCATCCCTTTCATGTCAAGTCCGGGCCTCTAAAGGAATCCGGAATCCTCTGGATTCCAGGAGGAATCCTCAAGGGGTCAGACGCTCAGACCCTGATTTTGCATGAATGGAATGGACTGCCAAAGATGTCTACCTTCAAGTACCTTGTCAGAAGGTGATTGGAGACTACTTATGTAGGTGCCAGGAGGGTCCAGTCGTACCGAACCTGAGAAGGTGGCAGTGGATCCCCAGGGTCTTTACACTCCCTGGAAGCAACATGGAGCCATGGATGGGACCCCCTGTTGGATCATCCGTATGGGGCTGTTTTCCATCTACCTTGGCTCATTTTCCCACATGATGTTCTGCAAAAGGTGTGCGGTGTGCGGCCTCTCTTTGGGCTTTTGCAGTCCGGTTGGCACACCAAGGATCTTAAAACTGGAAGGGGTGCTTAAATCTGGAGTCTCAGTTCGTACCACAGACAACGTGTACATGTCAGACATGTTCGGTTATGCCCCATTTTCTAGGGTACTTTGAAGCGTCCAGGTAGATTATTTCCAAACCCTCATCTTGCAGCGTTTTCTGATTTGTTTGGATCCCTATAGGGATAGATCTTCTAGAGTTGCATGAGGAAACAATGATGAAATTGAACTGACTCAGCGGATGAACAGGATGCTGCAGAGTGCAAGCCACAAGATGGATCAGTATTGACACCGTCGACAAACTTCTCGCACAGACCCCGGCAGCGATGTTGACCAAGTGGGGGAGATAGTGGGGCTATGTTGCTTCTGTTTCATCGTGCAGTCAAACAACATATCCTGTACTTGGTCTTTACCCAAGGGTGGTCTTCCGGGTTTGCTTCCTTCAACTGTATCTGATTCCAAGAGCCTAGCCCTTGTTCCAATTGATTTAGACTGAGAAGGATCACTAACCATCATAAAAAAAACACCCGAGACATGATGAAATGTCCTAGAGTTCTACATCTGAAACCACGCAAACAGGACACAGAGCAACTGCGCCACCCTGTGGACAGGGACAGCATTTGCTCTATGGGTCTTTGCTGGATCACCTGTCCATAGATCCTCAGATCCAACTTTACGTTTTACCTTTTTCTAGAGATCGCCAATGACATCTCAGAAGGTGACAGCGGAACCCCAAAAAGTATTGATTTGATTCATTTGGAAACCTTGCCAACTCAGACGTCGCTGGCAGGGATTGCCCTGTATATACCTGTATAAACATCGCGCAGGGTGGGCTCAAAGCGCAGAGTGGGCATTGCAAATCGGATCAGGTAAGGTCCTGTTTGTTTGTTTGTTTTGTCATGTCGGGGTCCCTGGTACAAGTTTTTTGCAGGATCATGACCCTTTGGTTCCAGATGCCGATGGAAATGAAGCGAGCTCTGACAGTGGAATGCACGGAATCGTTCTTGTTTTGTTCGGAGAGGAGACATGGTAGATCGGTTTCTCATGGCTTATATATCTACCGGAATCCCGGACTTCCCAAACGGTAGCTTCTACTGTTTCTGAAAGCCCCACTATGGAGGGCGGTCAAACCCTTTGAGGATGTCGGGTTTCAGGAGTCTTAGGGCAAGTTATCATGGTCACTCTACCGGTCAGTGTGAAGGACGTCCAATCTCCAACAAGTTACAGAGCAGGTTTTAGACTTAGACTGGGTGAAGGGCAGTATAGGTCAGTGACTGCCATGTGCCATATGTGTCTTTTTGTCATGGTCCGGATATGAGACCCAAAGGGGGTGTGGCACCACGAAAACCCAAGAAACCAGGGGCGGTATCCTTCGATTCGGCGATTTACGATATAAAAAGGTTGATTTGGCGTTGTAGTCTTAAAATTCTTATACCCTGTGGATCCACTTACCTTCTGAGAAGCTCTTCTATAGGTATGTGGATCCCGTCCGGGATAGCAAAACAAGGATTCTTCGGTCTAGAGTCTAGCGATGGCCTCCAACCTAATAGCAATGGCCTCCACCTACGAGTAGCTTCTAGCTACTAGTAGCTTCTTGTTACTAGCAGTAATGCCAGGAGCTACTACAAAAGTCAAGGGAGCACTTCGACTCTTTAGACCCCGTTCCGTATTCTTTAGTATCCCTAATTATAGTATCCCTGGTCCCCGAAAGTATCCTTCAGTCGTCCATTTTGTTTAGAAGGGGTCTGATGACTGAACCAGGAAGGGACCTGCGGACAGCCAAGCTATGTCGCATGTTGTTGGAAGCTCAAACACCTAGAATGTCTGCCTGTGAGAGTATGTCCCAGCTTCTCAGAAGAGGGTCGGGGGGATTCCATATCCAGACACAACTGATGATGGGATTGGCATATTGACATACCTTGAAACGATGTCAATTAATATATCGGCACAAAAGAATGCAGTCGTCCCACCGGATCGTGTTGGAGACCCAAAGGTCGAGGCTTCAAACAACGAGCCGAACGACACGCAACCGCTCGCCAGCGCCGAGCGCCAGCATGATGCGAGCAGCGACTGAGTGAGAGCCGACGTCGCAGCGAATAAGTCGAGTTGGAGCGGCGTTTCAGGGCGCTCCTTGCCAGCAAATCTGTATATAAATCGATATAATTTATATAATTCTGTAGTGTAGGTACTCTTTTGGTGGGGGCGGATAGTTTAGCACACGGGACAGGACAGGTCAATCCAATTATAGCTTTCGGTGATGCGGAAGCGGTAGATTGTTTTCATGTGGTTGACCAGATTCCGCGGGCATGTTTTTTCTTCTGACGGAGGCTCCGAGGTTGCAACCATACTTCAGGACCCTCCAACATGGTTGAGGGCTGTTAACCCGAACACAATTGGTGACCTGTAGAGTCGGGTGCTGGTTATTGTTACTTGTTTTTTTTTACATCCCCAATAACCAGATGAGCTTCTCAGCACTCAAAAGTCAACACTCAAAATAAAAACAACCAGAGTCAAAGCAAAAAACTCAACTCAAGCAAGATACCGAAAGGCCAACTCAAAACACAAGTTCAAATAAAAAACATATTTGAAAGGAAAGAAAGCCAAAGAGTAAGACAGTGTGATTTTTGAGTACGTTTCTTACTTTTTGATTTTTTTTATTGTTTTCAGTTGTGTGTTTGTATTCAAATAGTGTTCTAAGAGCGTTTTGCTTGAATGCACATTGTGTTTGTTGGTTTTTTTGCAGAAGCAAAAAGTAAAACCGAAGTCTGTTTGAATTTTAATCCCATTCCGCCGAGACCGAGTCTTTCTTCGCTGAGCTCTGAATGCACTTCAATCAGCACAGGTTGCGCAGAGACCAATTCAAAGACCGCATGTTTTTTCTCTCGGAAAGAATGCGACGTGCGTTGACCGCTGTGCTTTGGATGTTATTGGGACCTGATACAAGACGTTGGCTTTATGTTTTACTTAAGTTGATTTGTTACTTTCCCTCTGGGTAAATCTCCTTTTGGGAGATACTTTTTTTGCTGGGTTCCTTAAGCAAATCCAGGAAGACGTTGGAAAGTCTGCTGGGTTTTATTTTTGAAGAACAATATCATCATTATAAATCGTCATCCTCGAGCAATCAACAATTACGGAACAAGCTTGAGGCACAGAGACATTGCATCATGGATAGGGGTTGATACAGATTCCACTGGCGGAACGGCTTCCAAAAGAATTGGAAGGGAACCAACAAACCACAATTCGGTGTGTATCTTACTAGGGAGACCCACAACCCAATGAGTTTGGGTCAATGTCCATTCTTCCAATGGGTGGGTCTTTTGGAGGTCCAGTCCCGTTATCTTAATACACCCCTATAAATGAAGCTTCCTTGTCAAAGTCTTTTGGTTTGCGCCGATCAATTATTGGTCCGTGGAAGGGCTCCCTGTCCCAGAAGCACGGGCGACAGTGATGACCATCACCAAAAGTTGGTACAACATTTTTGATAAGTGATACGATTTACAACCCCCTTGCAACTTGACCATCATCTCTTAGTACTTTTAGCCAACGGAAGTGGCTCAAAGAAAAACTTTTTTGCCAACGCAGAGCCCACTGAGCCCACTGAGCCATGCTTTTCCATGTGGTCAACATGTTCGGGGGGGAACTGAGCCCACTGCCCTCGCTGTAATGGATCAGATCAGGAGCCCCGTCGCAGTGCGCCAGCGCTACTTAGGGAACAAGCGAGAATCTACCAGTCCATTCCAAAATAAGTGGATCCGGGAGAACGTTTGGTTTTACTACCAGTGCATGGCAAATCTCTTACAAATCCCTAACACTCCTGGCCTTCAGTGCTTGGGGTGCGTGGGGCTGGTGGTTGGTCCCTACCTTCAGATGCTGGTGGTGGTCACAAGCCCGCCTTGGTCACTTCTCCAAGGTGAACATAACAACTCACAATGATGGTGATGAACTTAACATACCTTAACTTATCATACCTTATCCCTACACCTCCAAGTACCTCCTCAGAAGGTATTTGGACCTTCCCACCCCAGTCCAAGGGTACGACTGGAGCGCTAGGGTCTTATTCAATGTGGCCCTATAAATGCCTATACAGAATAAATAGTATTGTATATAGTCAATGCTGTAATATGAAGATCAGATGACGTTCCTATTGCTTTTTTGTGGGCCATCCACGCATCTGATTTGGGGGGCATACTCATTGCCCATACTCCCCCGCCGCGAATCCTTCGCAGCTTCAGGCGTCGGCGCTCAGAGCCACCGCGGCGAGGTCGGCGACTACCGCGGCGTCGGATGGGGCGGACCCACAGTGGCCACAAAAGGGGTACACCCTGAAAAGAGAGATTCACATGCAACCTCCAAAACCACTGGCGAAGGTGGAGTTTCTATTTGGTCTGGTTCAAAAGAAAACAGGACACTACAGGTACGACGTGGTACCCATTTTCTGAGGTACGAGCTCACAGGTCGACTCCAGGTATATCGCTTTTTCACAGGTAGTCCTGTCGATCAGCTTTTCGGCGTTTTTAGCACTCGCTCGAAATGACTTTTGGCTCACCGGTTTTGAACTCACCACACATTTTTCTAAAGTAAATCTTGGGGGGTACCTTTCTTCGTTTTTCTGACCCACCAGGTCAAGGTAGAAAACATTATATAAATTCTAAAAGCCATACCTGTTAAGTCTGACACTTACTCTTTTCAGGTCGGAAGACATAGAAAACCCGATGTAAGGAACGTGTTCTATTGTTGTGTGCTTAAGGGACCTTAAGTAAGTATTTATCTATCGCCACTCATTGGTCATCGGTCACACCTGTGTCATCCATCCTAGACTACCCTACCTTACTTACAGGCCTCCATGGGACACATATTGGAAGTGCTAGGTATATACAGGGCTGGTTTCTGTACCTCCATTTGGAGGAAAACAGATGGAAAGAGCGGAAGAAAGCATCTTGATAAGAAAACCAGAAGAAACGGCTTTTGGGATTGTTTGGGAATCGTGCTCCCAACTTCTTGGGCACTACAGTTTTGATTTGAGAGTTACCTTTGGACTAACCCATTCGGTTTGGTTTCTTCCCAATCGTTACCTTTGTTTCATCATGCTCCTATCGGTGCCCGGTGCCACGAGATTGGAATCGTGTCTCACCGGAAGGAGGCCATAACACGTTGAACCAATGACTGATGTCCATCAGCAGTGTGGACATGGAATTGTTCACTTGATCATCCCCTGGCCCGCGTGAGAGACAAAGTTTGTGGGAAGCAATGAGAAGACTACCTTGGACACCGAGACAAAGCTTTTGGAGATCCGTAGTAAGCTGGAGTTGAGTTTCCGAAATTGGCAGCAATGGGATATGGTGGTAGAGGCCTACAATAACCCTCGTAGAATCTCGTAGATATGACCTCTCATGGATGATGGAGCAAATCCTGCACCATCTCAGACAATAAATGTCACTGCTCATTAACTGCTTGCTTGGGGTGGTGGTTTCAGATATGTTCCATCTTTGCTTGGGATTGCCCACTAGACTTAACATGTTTCAAATGAGTTGAAGCCATCAACCAGTTTGTGTGCTAATCAAACTGCCAGATGTTTGTCCGGCGCCGCGCCATCGGTTAGTCCAAAACACGGAGCCTAGACCTGGCTTTCCTGAACTGGGTGAATCCTGTTCCTGAGAATACACTCCCTGAAATAATCATGAAGTGCATTTTTCGGAATACCAAACAGGAGATTGTTCACTTCCATGATTATTCCAGGATCGTATTCTTGCGGACCTGCCAGGTGAGGGCTGGTAGATTTTATCAGAGCTGTCCCGTCCCGCCTCCTGCTTTACCTCCTCCTCCGCCTCCCCCAGTGCTGGATCCTAGTGGACACCGCCGGACCTCAATCGCTAGATCGCAGTGGGCATTGCTGGACCTCAATCGCGAGGGCCAGATTGCAGTGGGTACCACTGGACCTCAACCGCGAGTGCTGGATTCCAGTGGGCACCACCGGACCTCAACCGCATGCCGGAAAGCCAGACTATGCAAGATAGTATACGCCAGAGAGAAAGTCAGAATATATGCCAGAAAGATTGTCAGAATATAGGAGAGATAGAATGCCAGAATATATTCCAGATTATGCCAGAAAGAAAGCCAGACCATAGGTAGAATATATTCGAGACAGATTGCCAGAATACATGCCAGACAGATTGCCAGAATATATGTCAGATGGAATGCAAGAATGAATACAATACAAGATCGACTGCCACTGTAATCCAGGGTATTTGCAAGATATAACGTCCGCGCTGGCAGAACAAATGCCGGAATACATTGCACAACACATATCAGGACCGAAGTCAGACAATCACGGCATACACACAGCCCAGAACATTTCCCAGCCTTTATGGTAGTTAGTTGACGTGCCAGAGCACATACCGGACTTGATGCCAGAACAAGCGTCAGAACATTGTGTCAACACACATGTCAGGCCACGTTTGTCACGATACTTTGTCAGTACATGCGGGCAGAGACTAGAAGTTGACAATAATTTTATTCAATACATGAATAAACATGCATAAAAGACAGGCTAAAGAAGCAACATGCAACAACATATGTGTTGCAATATCGAACATATGAGGTTTATAAACTTTATGCCACCTATGCCAGGCCTATGTCAATTGACCGCAGGCCCAAAGGATTTAAGTTTTTGTCTGACTTCCTTGCAATTCGCAGTGTTCAGGCAGTAGTCATGAGCGGCCCACCTTCTCCGATGACTCAATTGGTCAATGCCTCACAGCAGCATGTTCCCGCTGCGCCAGCAACTAAGTGATGGCGCCTTCTCAGTTCCTGGTCGTCATGGAGCAGGTGGTGTGCCACCTGGGGCAGCAATCTTGGCTATGAACCCACGCAATGTTCGTGGACGTTGGACCGGGTTAAAAGTTAACTTAGTCCGTCAGTCGTTTCGTAGTGTCGGTGACAACGGGTGCATGCTGAGATTGATGACCATTGGAGTGATTGATGCAGTCAGATATTGCCCTAGGTGTCGACTGGGCCTGGCAGTCCTCGCCCATCAGCGGGCGCGCCAGTGACGGGTGCAACGCAGCATCGTGAGCTGACAGGAACCCCTGTGCCAACAGAGCAACAGCTCCAAATTTCTCACGCCGTTGGCAGATCGTGGAGGACATTAGCATTGCTGACCTACATAAAGCACATTTCAAATTTTGCTCCTGAGGAGTGTGAGTACGATTTCGTCAAAGAGTACCACTAAAAGGACTTGCTGTTGATCTTCGAGTACGCGACCGGACTTTCCCCAGATGCTACGCTTTTTCATCGGAACCGTGCATTCCCAGTCGAGTGAAGAAATGTGTGACAGATTGACAGAGTGCCACGACATTGATTTTGTCTGTTTTTGTTGCTCGACTAGCACTGTAGCTTTGAGATCCAGCAGGTTGGTACAAACCACTTCAACATAGATATTTTTATTTTTGGTTTAAATGAAAACCGTTACAACCAAATTTATGAATCCGTAAAAAAAGGCAAAAATAACTTGGCCCTGTGAACCGACCATACATTTTCCATACCATGGTTCACATTCTTTTCATGACAGAGAAAATATATGTTTTTTAAAGTGGTATGAAAACTTTTCAAACCAGTTTTGAAACAAACATGTTTTCATAACATTTTCATACATTGTGAGAAAATATTCAATCAAATTGATTGTTTACGTGAAAAAGTATGAAACGTGCGAACCATGGTGTGGAAAAAATATATTGTTGGTTTACAGGGCCAATCTATTTTCATGCTTTTTATATGTACCCACTCGTAAAAATGCAGTTGCCTAGGGACGATACGTCAGAAATTGCATGTTCCAATTGCATTTTAAAAGTGTCTACTTGGATGCCAGGGCATCTAAATCAATTTGGTATGCCGCGCTCTTTGTGGTGAATTATCCTGGAAGACAACTTCTGACTTCTGATTTCTTTAACTGTCGTTCTCGACTTGAACAGCCAGGCTTGAGCCTTTGCCCACATGCTGTAGACATGTTTGCAAAAAGCAGACTCCTACCTGGTAGCTGCCGGATGTGGTCTCGGAAGTGCGGCTGTGGCTTTTAACTCGCTTGAGTTCTCTTTGCTAAAGCAAAAGGGTGAGCTTGAGGGGATTCACAAATCGAAGTAAATCAAAAACAGTTGGCAGTAACAAAAATATCGGTGCTTGTCCATTGAGGGAGGGTCCAGGCGATTGTTCGTTGGGGGCTCGGTGTTTTACCATAGAGTCCGCGCACGTATGCCACCAAGATGGTTAATAAAAATTCTACCGGTTGAAAGTACCATCGAATACACGCAATCAAGGTCCCCCCTACGTCCAACAAATGCAATTCGGGGACCCCCACGTCCATGCCACTTAAGGGTGGACATATTTTTTGCGATTTCATAAACTGGGTTGAATTGGTTTCATAAAAAACGTATTGAAATCAAAAACAAATGACCAATGATTTGGCCTCGTACCTGACTACTTAGGTCTCAAACCTGTAGCTGGCGTAAAGTTGAATATATTATTGATGAGCAACCATTGATTATTGAATCCGGCTAACTGTTTCTTTTGACCATCCGTTGATTGACTTAAGTTCTATACAAAACAAATCACACATGTCAGGCGACGGGTGGATTGACAACTTGGTAGCAAAGCACGCCATACGAAGCAGGCGACCTGAAAATCACATTGACAATCGTGCCACTGAAGCCCTCAAGTTCATGAAGCGAAGGAAGGCACGGGCATGGTGGGGATCACTCGACGTAAATGAACGTACTTCTTCCCGGCTTCGAGACCAGCAAATCCAAGTGGAACTTGGGGCTGGTGTTCCACTGGGTCAGTCGGCGCGGTCGGTGCTAGTCGTTGTGCAGCGAAGGTGGTAGATTTGATCCAACCTCGCGTTTGGTTTAGAAGGGATGTCTCACGAAGCCGCGAAAAAGAGGTGAAACGGTGAAAACGTTCAGCAAAGGACCGGGTTGAACAGTCAAAAGTTGCATTCCATACGGGTTTTGGTTGTTTGTTCAAGCCAAAGGCTTCGAGTCTGAAGTCATAGTTCTGCCCTTCTCGACCCTTCTCCAGGTAGAGCCGCCCATCGAGGTCAAAAAAACCTCCATCATCCCATCTCAGGCTGACGCGGCGCGCGGATGGGGTGCGTTCAATTATCGAGCGGATATGGGTCAGAAACGAATGGGTTCCTACTCTTTCCCTGCGATTTGTTTTGGAACCCCGGAACTCTTGTAGCACTTTTTGAGCCTTCGTGTTTCTTTCAACAGGTGACCAGTGACCCGGACTGGTGCTTTTGCCGCGGTGTTGGGTGTAGCCCGGACTGGTGCGGTGTGATGGGTATGTGCTGGTCCTATACCTGGATCGAGCTGTTCGTACTTCACAAAAATTGGCACAAAAAACGACACATACCCCGCTACATTTCCAAGTACCTTCTGAGAAGGTGTTTGGGATGGTTTTGGAGGGTCCAAATACCTTCTGAGGAGGTGCTTGGAGGTTTAGGGAATTTAATGGAATTTACAATGATTTACAATGCGAATTTGTTTTCAATTTGGGTCATGTCCTATAGGCTAGTTGGGATGGTCCTGTGTGGCATTTGGCAGTTTTGGTGCAAGAGAAACCATTCCTTTCAGTGTTTTGTTGGCTAGTCCAGCATGTGTAGTTGGATCCAAAGATGAAGTTCCGATTCTAGCCAAGCACAAGAAAACTCTATGCATCCACAGACCCTGGGAGTATGATGTATTCAACACCTTTATGTTTGCAACCCTCATGTCTAGGCATAGTGAGCATCCAAGTACCCTTTGAGAAGTATAGGTATGTGGATCGCAACAAAACTTGGAACATGATGTTCAAGCATATGGCCCCCCTTGGTACCCTGGTCCCCCTTTGCGTGTGATCTCCGAAATAGAAAAGGGTTCCTTGGCTGGACATCGAAAGACCTGCGGTTCGGACGACACCGCGGCGGAATTGCACGCGCGCTTTGCGGCTCGACCCAAGTCACAAAGCCCAAAAGGGTCGATCTGAGGAGTTTCTATTCTAAGGCCCAAGTGGTCCAACATGGTTCTTGGACCTCTTGGACCTAATCCAAGGCTTCTCTTCGAGGTGTTCATGGAATTGTGTAAACCCTAGGGTTCCTGCCCCATATCCTCAGCTTCGGTGGTATTCGATCCCCCATATCCAGCCACCCCAACCACCTTCTCAAGAAGGTGGGCCAGGAGCCCTATAGGGAAAACCAAAAACATTCGTTCACGGTGCGGCGCTCCGCCGGGGAGATGGTATGGACCGGTCCGGTCCGGGCCGAGCCGAGCAGGAACTGGAAGAGATCAGGGAGTGGATGCGAAACTTTGAAGTGGAGCTGAAGAAGCGATGCTTTGGGACAGAAGCTTTGCAACAGGCCAGGGGGAAATGGTGGATGACAACCAGCATGGAAGAGTGAAGTAGGTGAAGAATTCCATGGTTTCCATGGTTTCGCACGCGATGCACTTTCAGTGAGCTAGAAGGTTGATCGGGTTGCAGCTTTGCTGGATGGGGGGGGAAGGAAGCCATGTGATGCGACCCAAGGTGGGTGGGCTGGTTTGGGCGAGGAACCTCCATGTGCGAGGGTGGTCTGAGTTCTCCAACGGCATCATACTGCACCTCGACTTAGTCTAGATATAGTAGACTACAAAGGAGATCAAAGGAGTAAATAGCGAAGACCCACTTTCAGACCACAAACCAAGACGTGTTGATGTTCGAAGACGAATTACTGTAGTATGATACATTCTCGCTCCCTTGCACAGATCCTGCACAAAAACCGTCCCTTCCCCACAAAAACTGTCCCACCTGGGGCGCGCTGGGGACATACTTCAGCTGGTGCCAGTGCCTTGTGTCCTTCAACTGTGCCTTCCAGACGATACGTCCGCCGTCCAGAGGATCCATGAAAGATTCCCATGGATGGTCTGGGAATCATTTTAGAAACAAAACATGGTGAACAGATATATGAACGTTCACATTATTTGACAGATATGTTTCTGGTGAAGCTCATCAGAGTCTGGAATTGTTTCCTTCTTCAGATTCCAGGGATCTCCTCGGTTTTGTTCAGCTTCTCGGAGGGCTCTTTGGCACCCGCTCCGACAGAGACTCGTTCGGTCTTGCGTGTCTAGCCGATCCGACTCTTAGCTTCGGTCTTTGGGATGCGCCAGGAGGGGTGTATTATTTCCTGACAGTTGGAACTCTGATCAATGACCCATAGAAAAACTTACGACATGTATTGTCGGAAGACAACACGTTGTTGCAATGTGTTTACTTAACATGAAAAGTATCGCAAAGGTCAACATGACATAACATGACACAACATGACTTTACTGTTTTTGACCTATACCGCTATGCCGCTATACCAGATGGCTAACGAAACATACTCTGACCAGTCTTGTCGGTGACCAGGTGAGGACCGAAGTGACCCACCAGCTCGAAACAGAGGCGCCCCCGATCGCGGTCGGTGCCGTCGCGGGAAACGAGGTCGGACGGTGAGCCGTCACGGGCGACGTCGTACGGAGAAGAATTCTGCAGGACGTGGCCCTTTTTTGGGATGAAAGATCCTACACTGATCTGCGGATCGGGAAACACCCGCTCCCAGCTCTGGGTTTTTTTCAGCGTCGGTGGATGCCATGGTCTCTTCGATATAAAAGGATTTGGGCAACATGTTGTTCATGGTTTTTCTCTACACAAGTGCTTTTCCACTTCCATGATTGCTTCAAGGAGTGCCGACCTAGAAACTCTTTCTTTATGTAGTACTAAATGTTTAATGAACTGGGATCCACTTGGCTACAGTCTGCAGTGTGAATTTGCAGGACCAAATTGAAACTTTGATTGCCAATGGTTGCCAAGTGGTGTTTTGGATGTTTGCCGTGCACGCCACGGGAAAACAGAACAATCATGACCGCAGGTTCTTGCAGACGTCCGGCAGCGCTTGAGCTTCCTGGGCAACGAAGTGGAAGAAACCAAGCGAGGCATTGAGGACTTGCAGGCAAGGGTTGTGTGATTTTTCCTGAGGTCAACACATAGATGGCCTTTTACTAGTCTTTTGGGTTAAGGACTGCAAGGACAATAGGGAGGATATGGGTTTAATTCTCCATAGAGTCTTTGAGTCTACTACACTATTCCCATATTTGGAAAAGAAGGTACTTGGTCCCTCTAAGCCTACATAATAACCTTCTTGGATGGTACGTGGAACATTGTGGAGCCATATGGATTGGCTGTTCACTTAGGGGTGTCCCAACCAAACAATATTGAAAGGCCATCGTAAAAATCTATGAATCTATGATCAGAACGGAGTGGGTGTACTCGAATCTGAGAATGGTTGTAGTCACATAATCGGATCGGCATGATGCTGAAGTAGACACTTTAGGAGACACAGGAGGAACACCATTGGTGAATTTAGCACAGAATCGAACTCCGAATGCTGTCCGCAAATGCTGTTCGAAAAAGAGCCAGACATCGTGTGCCTGGTATGCTTCACCGGAGCTTAGTGTCTTATCTCAGGACCCCCTAAGGGGTTTCTATTGATACTCCCAGGGTGATTCGGAGTGTCCATTCCATTCACCACCCCCACAAGTGGGTCCTGGTATGTTAAGGGGTGTCCATGTTTTGTTTGTTGTGTTTGTTCTTTTTCTTTGTCACTGCTTTCGATCCCGGAATCACGAAGGATGCCCAATTCTAGGCACCGAAGACATGGAAAAGGCCCAGTCAACCGCCGGGACCGTGAGCGCCGCTAAGAGCTAGAACGACGTTCTTTGGAAGACCGGTCGATGGTGCATTGTTCTGTGCTAGACCGGTCTTGTTGTTTGCTAGACATGTACCAAGCGATTCCCCGGGTGGAACAAACATAGAAGTGGAACAGTGCTCCAAGGATGACTCTGTTCCCCTAGAAGCTAGACCTGCTTCATTTCAATAAATGTTGGAGGGCATGTATATAGATTTGTTGTCACTTTGGGTTTGCAAATGGGTGAGACGGCCTTCACGCAAGTCGCTAGTGAAAGCATCATCGGGACGGGTACGGGGCCCTCAACATAGATAGCACAGCAAACGCTGCGTGCGCTTGGCGCACCAAAAACGCGCAGTTTGCATGCGCTAAATGGCGTGCCGGTTTGATGCGCTTCTGCGTGCTCGAGGTGTGCAACTTCTGACCTGGATGACAGGTTTACGAACATGGACGAAACAGACAGGTTGAGTGGTCCAACTTCGGTCGATACACTGAATGTTTGCCGATTCTCTTTTGTGTTCAGTTGAACATGATCTCTATTTGGATGGAGGCCCCTGCCCTCAGCAAGCATCCTCATTGTCACTATCACCACCCATGGTCACCATCTATGCACTGGTCCTGGGAGCAGGATTAATCCAGAGACCTTTTTTTTTTGTTTCGCGGCATGCAAGGCATTGAAAGAAGTCCAACAAAAGGCGAGTCGCACTGATGAAGATGCAAAAGACATGGCCAAGAACACAAGAGAATTACACCAGGCGAATTGCACCGACTTCCATGTCGATGCTTGTTTCTGATCACTGTTGATGGCTACTCTTGGTTGCACGTACAGTGGGTTGCGGATGTTCAACTGTTCTCGAGCACAAGGTCAATTCAAACATGTGCATACGAGATCACTTGCAAACTGCATGTTTTGATGTTTCCATTGTGTCACTTGTATGTCGGGGCCTTGGATGATTTGGTGGGTGGGTTTGGTCTTAAAGCACCAAACCACAGAACCATACAGAACCAGACAGAACTGTGCTGGAAACCATGTGAACAGCCTGCGCTTATCTCCTTTTCTGCTTTATCCTCGAAGACTGCACGGGGATGGGTCAAAACCTGGAGCCCGGCCAGTCCACCGTAGAACGAACGACCAACAGGTCAACTGCTCGGTCTCCAGGTGTTTGGATGCGGCGCTCGACTGCGCCTTCATCCCAAACGCACCCCGGGTGTAGGATGATGTAGGAGCATCTCTTGGAGCTGCCAGGTCGCCCGAAAGCACCCGAAACCTGCCAGGTCACCACCTGAGACCTTTCAAGTCTCCAAAAGAACTTTTGTTTAGGGAGACTTGTTGGAGGGTCCTGGGAGGGAAGGTGGATTTGGAGACCCGGAAGATCGCAGCTGGGTAGACTGGTGTATTTGTCCGTCGAACGCGAACCCAGGAAGTGGGAACGCCGGAACGGCCAGGCCTAGGTGTCGGTCTTCCTAGGCCTGAGCTACACTCCCATATGATCAATGTAGGTGTGTGTGAGTGTGTACCAGTTTTCATTTGTGACAGTCGGAAAAATGGCATATGTACTAGTCAGGTCACTTATTCGGAGGAAATATTTTTACGAACCATCATTCACTGCCCCCTGGTAATGGGAGATACTGTATACCCAATGATCAATGCATTATAAGTATAAATCATTTGTTCACTAGCGGGTTCCTCCCACGTTGTTGGCATCGGCAGTTGATGTGATGTGCTTCTGTAGAGGGGCCCAGTTCCGTTGTTTGTTTTTTGCGCCCTGTGCTCCCATTCCTTCCCTAGACCGGGCCTATTCGGGCTCCAAACACATGCCTTTGTTGGTAATTTCTTGGGGTAAGGTATACTTAGTACTTCGGGCGTTGTTCCTGTTCTCTCAAAAGGTGTAAATATAACTGAAATTGTATAATAAGCATTTATGACGGCAGATTCTTTTTAAGCACCTTTCAAAACGATGCACCCCTTGACCTGCAGAGAGGTCAAATTTCTTGGGACGCAAAGAGAGGTTCTCCACGATGGCTGTGCTCCGAACTCAGTGCTCGGCGTCGAACACTGCCGCTGCAGGTCATCACGGGACTTCGACGACAAGTTTTGAGCGAATTCGATGCGCTGAAAGACACCAAGAGAGGTGCAGAAGAGATACAGCAGGAGAACTGGATGTGGAGTTGTGCTTTGTGCTGGATCCTTGTAAAAATGAACTTGACCTGAAGCTGGATATCCTAATGGCTTCATGTTCGGGAACTTGCCCTGTATTAACGTTGTCTTCGTGTTGGTGTTGTTTCCCACAGATTAAATGACCCATCTTACTTCCAACAGATTGAAAAGAAGTGCCTTGTACCTGCAGAAGACTTGCAGGCCGACGTTTGATTTGGAGACCGTGGATCTTCTTTCGCTTTTGCATGTCCTCGACCTCCGACTCAATGTGTTTGTACTGAACCTGAACAGGTGCATTGAGTGCAAAGCCATTCTCACGTTTCGATGTCAATGCCATGTTTCTGCAGGAACTGGCTGACGTTGGGCATCGAACAAGTTCCTTTGACAATGAGCTGAAGGAAACGAGAAAAGATGTAGAAGACATGCAGAAGGCCATATTCACGTGTATACAATACAGCACTGTGGATGCTTTTGGGTTAGATTTGGTTTTCTCAGGCGTTGTTTGGAGTCTCGTTTTGCAAGAGGCACTAAGAGAAGTGACGGAGAAGACGGCTCGCACAGATGAAGATGCAAGGAACATCGTGAAGAGTACCAGAGAGTTGCATCAGGCTTACTTTTCTGCTCATTAAAAGTCTATGATGGCACATTTTGGCTGCCAATTTTGCTCACTTTTGTGCAGGTCATCACTGAAGTTCGCCAACGATTAAGTTGCATTGATACTGAGTTGAAGGATGCCAAGAAGGGTTCAGAAAACATGCAGCAGGCGCCACAATTGTGCTCCTCACATTGTTATCCACCATTGTAAACATGAAAGTTGCTTTCCGCATGTCGCATCTATGATTTTGCGGGTCTATTGAACTGTGTTCGTTTTGCAGTGTTTGTGATGTTATTTATTAGAGTCTATTTTGACATGTTGCATGTTGTGTGATGTTTTGTATGTATGTATGTATGACTGTATGTATGTACGTACGTATGAATTAATGAAAAAATGAATGTTTGTAATGTATGTAATGTGTGTAATTATGTACGTATGTATGGTAGGTAAGTATGGCATGTATGGTATCTATGGCACATATGGTATGTATGGTATGCATGGTATGGTATGGAATATTTTGGAACGGTATGCTATGGTATGTTCTGATAGTATGTAATATAATACCTAGAAGATCCTTTCGGCAGAAATTCTTGCCTTTTTCGGGAAGAGCGGCTCTCCCCGTCCTGGGGCGGAAACCAACTTTTTGCCGCGGAAATGTTTTTGTTGCCGCAAATTTTCCCTTTCAGGAATCTAGTGAGAGACTACATATATTCTATATAGAACAGTTGAATCTTTTTGGTGGTTTGCATGTGCATTGGGCATTTCTGCCTGGAATGGTCACCTCAATGATACAAAAAGATGGCGGCGCCTAAGTTTCCACCTCCACCTGCAAATCTGGCTACCATGTCTTTGTTTTTGAAGGTTTCTTGTGCGGAATGAGCACACGAGCAGTAAAACCAGTCCAAAGTTGAAAACACCTGGCGCGAAAATGCCCGGGAAAGAGGCGGAAATACCCGGGAAAGAGGCGGAAATACCCGGGAAAACGGCGGAAATACCCGGGAAAACGGCGGAAATTTCCTGGCAGAAGGCGGGATTCAAGAACAGTGCCCTTGAAGGGCTTGAACATATATCGCAGCCTCTTTGTGAATGTCGGCGGCTCGCCAGGGGCGATACGACTTGAGCTACGGCGTGTCCCATTGCCAACAACTGGTCGCTTCTGGCAGGAGAGAAGCAATGGAGTGGACGGCCAAGCTGATCAAGAAGGCCCAGAAGGACGTGGTCATCAAGGTTCCCAAGCTGGACTGCGACCTGATGGAGGCCGTGGTGATCTCAGCCAGTGATGCCGCATTTGCGGCTCAGCCCAAGGGCCACTCGCAGGGAGGTGTGGTGTGCATGATCGCACACCCGGACATCTTGGAGAAGAAGGCGCCGGTCAACATCTTAGAGGCGCAGAGCATGAAGATCCAGCGGGTGGTGCAATGAGCGCCGAGCTTTCGATGGCGGCAGAGAGCTTTGAGCACGGGGACTTCATCCGTGCGTCCTTGGGGAGATGTTGCACCAGGACTTCGACCTCCCGAGGTGGAAATGGCATGCCAGCCGCTGGAAGCACTACCTCGTGATCGATGCGAAGACAGGCTACGACGTCCTCTCCTCCGAGAGCATGACCAGCGACCGCAAGATCCAGATCGATGCGGCGGTCCTCAGGGAGGCCCTGGTGGAGGAAGGGGCCGCCAACTATGTGCGGTGGATGCCCGGCAAGGAGATGATCAGCGACGGCTTGACCAAGTGGAGTGACCTACAGGTGCTGGGCGAAGGGCGATGGAGCCTGGTCGACACAGCGGAGGCCAGGCGTTTGCGGCACGAAGCCGCTGAGCGCAAAAAGCGCTACGTACAGCAGCATCGCGCCGCCCGTCCGACACCGTAAGGGGTGTGTGTGGAACCGGTCACATGACGGACGGGCGGTCGCGGTCCTAAGCTGTGGGGCTCGAGTGTAAGAAGAGGGGCGTCGCTGTCACTTTCGAGTGTAATGTAATGGTATGTAATGCAATGTGATGTAATGTAATGTAATGTTATGTATGTATATGTATGTGTATGTGTATGTGTGCATGTGTGTTGCATACAAAGATGGGCCCCCCTAGTTAAAACACTTGTAACTTACTTGGTGAAGTTACAAATTACTTAAAACTAAGTTAGCCGGAGGGCTTCGTAAGTAAGATGTAACTTAAATGTAACTATTTTTAAGTTCTATAAGTTCTAATTGGTGATTTTTGATGTTCAAAAACTATGTTTTTTCAGGTTTCCCAGTAGCAAGGCCCAAACCGAAGGACATCGAAAAACTATGCTTTTTACCTGGGAAAGCGCTGCTGTTGCAAGGGTTTTTAATGTAGAACACTCACCGCGCCGCTTTGCTGAAGAAAAGCAAAAAGCAAAACAAAAAAAGCAAAAAATGCGCTTCGAATTTCTTCGGTGGACCACCACCGCGCTAAAAGAAAAACACTTTCTACTTTAAACCATCAAAGCGCGTAAGAAAAACAGAACACACACAATGACCTACATCTGTGTGTTAGGAACACGCTGGGCGGTGGTCCGTCCAAAAAATTGAAGGCGATGGTCCGTCCAAAAAATTGAAGGCGGTGGTCCGTCCAAAAAAGTTGATGGCGGTGGTCCGTCCAAAAATTTTGATCGCGGTGGTCCGTCCAAAAAGTTGTGGCCGGTGCCCAAAAAACGCGGTGCACCCTGATGAACAAGAGGCTAGATGTACAGTAGATGTACGGTAATGTACGGTAATGTACGGTAGATGTACGGTAATGTAAGGTAGATGTACGGGAATGTACGGTAATGTACATATAGCCTCTTGTTCATCAGGTTACATCAGATCTTTTGAGGGACTGTGTGTGTGTGTCTTGTGATGCGTCACGGAGGCAAGGATCTACTCCTCAATTTTGGGGCGTGATCCAGCTTAATGGCTTCTAGTTGTTCCATGGCCTACATAATGGATTCGTTACACTATATTCTACTACGTGTGCGTGTTGCATATTTATGTGTTTCTGTGTGCAAAGTACTACTCTGTCGTACGGGTGGACCACCACCCCACAAATTTTTCACGACTAAAACATAAAAAACAATCGCGCCCATAAAAACAGAAAAAATGTTTCCAAAACAACACAAAATACAAAGATTTGCTAATCAGTCTCAGTTCTACACAAAAAAGAAGAGTACACCAAAAAACATTGAAAAACGCTTCTCTGCAAACCCGTCCACAAAAAACATAGTTTTTTCAATGCAAAAACCTAAGTTCCCTAAGTAAGTTGTAAGTGATTTAGCACTAATTTAGCACCCTCCAACATAAACTAGGATAACTTACTTATATATATATATATCGAAAGTAATTTTGTAACTGCAACGTAAATACCACCAAGAACTTAGAACACTTCACAATCTTAGACCAGCTTACAACATCAGTTAACCCATGTTATAACATATGTTACGGCGCTTTACAAGTTCTCCAACTAGGGGGGCCCATCTTTGTACCTTTTAAGGTTTGTTGTTCTGTCATCCTTGTTCGGTTTCTCGTATTTGTTTCATGCAACATTTGTGGATTTGGGTTTTTGCTTATACTGCTGTTGGCAGAGGTAGCGTGCGCGTCAGGTGTCAACTGTATACACATATATATATATTAAAAAAATGTATTGTACAAAGCTGTGAAGCAGACTTATGCAATCACTGTGGACTCTACATCTGTGCTGGTGGGTTTGCTCTTTGCTTGCTCGAACACCGTATTCTTGCCGCCATCTAGAAGAAACGCAAATTCCTTTGATGCCCACCGGTCCTTGTGGGTGTCTTGTCTATTCTGATGATTTCTGACAAGCTGTGCTCGGATATGTTCCCGTCCATTTCGGACGGCGTTTGTCAGGCATTGAAAGAGCTGCGCGAGTCAAAAAACACTGCAGACATAAAGAGCGTTGTTTCAGCAGATTTGCAGCAGGCCGTTTTGTCCGAGAACTGTGTGCCCTTTGTTTGACTTGCGTGTCCGCTGAGTGCAATGTTGGCTGTATTTCTGTTGCTTTGATGTCAAAGACATGTTTCTGCAGGAACTTGCTGACATTGGGCATCGAACAAGTTCCTTTGACAATGAGCTGAAGGAAACCAGAAAAGATGTAGAAGACATGCAGAAGGCCATATTCACGTGTATATAATACAGCACTGTGGATGCTTTTGGGTTAGATTTGGTGTTCTTACACTTTGTTTCGAGCCTTGTTTTGCAAGAGGCACTAAGAGAAGTGACGGAGAAGACGGCTCGCACAGATGAAGATGCAAAGAACATCGTGAAGAGTACCAGAGAGTTGCATCAGGCATACTTTTGGACTCATCAACAAATCCATGATGGCAGTCTTTGGCTGCCAACTTTGTTGACTGTTGTGCAGGTCATCACTGAAGTTCGCCAACGATTAAGTTGCTTTGATACTGAGTTGAAGGATGCCAAGAGGGGTTCAGAAAACATGCAGCAGGCGCCACAATTGTGTTCCTCACATCGTTCTCCACCATTGTAGACATGCTTTCCGTATGTAGTGGCATTTGTGATTTTGCGGGTCTATTGAACTGTGTTTTTGTTTCAGTGTTTCTGATGTTATTTATTGCAGTCAGTGCATTTTGACAGGTTACATTAGGCGTGCTGTTTTGATATGTTTTGTGTGTGACATATGTATTTGTGTGGGTTTGTTCATTTAGGATTGTTGTTCTGTCATTTGGGTGCGGTTTCTGTGATTTTCCAATTGTTTGTTTCAAGCAACCTTTGTAGATTTGGGTTTTGCCACTGTTGTTGGCCAAGGTGATGTACGCGCCAGGTGTCTATAAAATATATACAGTATAATACGAAGCTGTGAAGCAGACTGGACTCTATATATGTGCTGGTGGGTTTGCTCTTTGCTTGCTCGAACACCGTATTCTTGCCGCCATCTAGAAGCGCAAATTCCTTTGATGCCCACCGGTCCTTGTGGGTGTCTTGTCTATTCTGATGATTTCTGACAAGCTGTGCTCGGATATGTTCCCGTCCATTTCGGACGGCGTTTGTCAGGCATTGAAAGAGCTGCGCGAGTCAAAAAACACTGCAGACATAAAGAGCGTTGTTTCAGCAGATTTGCAGCAGGCCGTTTTGTCCGAGAACTGTGTGCCCTTTTTCTGACTTGGGTGTCCGCTGAGTGCAATGTTGGTTGTATTTCTGTTGCTTTGATGTCAAAGACATGTTTCTGCAGGAACTTGCTGACGTTGGGCATCGAGCAAGTTCCTTTGACAATGAGCTGAAGGAAACCAGAAAAGATGTAGAAGACATGCAGAAGGCCATTGACATGTAGATCAGAGCTATGATTTCAGGTTTGAACATTCCGTGTGCTCTGTTTGCCCTCCTGTCACTAAAGCTTTACGCAGACACTATATGGCTTTTGTTTGGAGTCTGAGTCTCGTTTTGCAAGAGGCACTAAGAGAAGTGAAGCAGAAGACGGCTCGCACAGATGAAGATGCAAGGAACATCATGAAGAGTACCAGAGAGTTGCATCAGGCTTACTTTTCGGCTCATTAAAAGTCCATGATGGCACATTTTGGCTGCCAATTTGGCTGCCTTTTGTGCAGGTCATCACCGAAGTTCGCCAACGATTAAGTTGCTTTGATACTGAGTTGAAGGATGCCAAGAAGGGTTCAGAAAACATGCAGCAGGCGCCACAATATGCCACAGTTGTGTTCTTCAAATCTTTCTCCACTGTTGCAGACTTGCATGTCGCTTTCCCTATGTAGGGGCATCGTAGCTCGGTTCCGGTTTCATTGCTGGCGCAATCAGTGTCCACGATTTTTCGGTACACCGTTTACACCGTCTACACCGTCTACACCGTTTACACCGTTTACACCATTTACACCGTCTACACCGCTTACACCGTTTACACCGTCTACACCGTTTACACCGTTTACACCGTTTACACCGTCTACACCGTTTACACCGTTTACACGGTCTACACCGTTTACACCGTCTACACCGTTTACACCGTCTATACCGTTTACACCGTCTACACCGTTTACACCGTGTACACCTTCTACACCGTCTACACCGTCTACACCGTGTTCACCGTCTACACCGTTTACACCGTTTACACCGTCTACACCGTCTACACCGTTTACACCGTCTACACTGTTTACACCGTCTACACCGTCTACACCGTTTACACCGTCTACACCGTTTACACCGTTTACACCGTCCAACCGTTTACACCGTTTACACCGTCTACACCGTAATCAGCGTAAGCAGCGTAACCAGCGTAACCAGCGTAACCAGTGTAACCA